CGCCTCAATGCAATTTAGGAGCAACATGAAGAAGCACTTCATAGCCAAATCTTAGATCTAACAGACTCATTGGTGATGCCACTCAGTTCCCTTGACACTCATAATCTAGATGTGAATCTCGTTAGGATTTAAAATTAAAGCTAAAAACCAGATAGGATATGCGAGAAAATTTCGAATTTTTTAGGGCGTGGATGCGCTGGGGCGTTAGCCAAAGAGCGTGGAAGGTATCACTCAGGCGGTGAAAGGACTTCGCGCAGCAAACAAAAAGGTTTAAGAGAAGATAACTTCTTTGAAATCATACTCCATCTTCGAAAGTTCATGACTTCTTCCGAACGCGAGTTTTCAGGTAGCGGTAAAAAGTTTAGAAACCTTAGATACTTCCCTATCCAAACTATTGAAAGTTTCGTGATCGTTACTTTTTTTCTGAAAATCGTTCCGTGCGCAATTTTTTGTGCTTTCGGGCTTCCAGTGGCCATGACTCACTTCTTTTTATTAGGTTGTAAGGAAAGTTCTGGCCGTTTTCGATAGTTCAAGTTTCATGGCATTATTTCTGGCTAAGTTTTCGGCAGACTGCTACGAGTTGCATATCATTAGAAAGCGCGTTTCTTGCTCTATCCAAATACGCGGTAAGCTTTGCTTAGAGGGACTACTCCCACTTTTTTTAAAGCCTTGAATGCAACATGCTCACCAAGCGAATCCTCACGATTTTCTTCTTCTACCTCGAATTAGGGCAGAAAGGAGCGGAATCAGCTTCATGATATAAACTATTCGTTTGGCCATGCATTTGCGGAAAATAAGCCATGAAGCGATAGTTTGGAAAGCTTGTGTAGGGATGGCGATAGCCTCGAAGTTGGCGAGGGTGATCGTTGGATGTCGAACTTCGGTAAAAATTACCTGAAACATTTGATGGAACCAAATGTGCTTGAAACAGTTGAGAAGACCGCTACCGAATTGAGCGTATATGATTTGTGGTTTCAAGTTACATGGGATAGCTTAAAAAGCACGGAAAAGTCGATAAGGAGGTGTGCGAAAAATCGCGGTTCCGTAGGGCCGTCTGCCTTTCTTCTGCAATCTTTCATTCAATGAAAACGACCCGTGTTTGTTCGGATTGTGAGTTGTGAATGTAGAATGGATTCTTCTCAATAACCTACGAACTTCGGGTGGTAGTTCGATCACGACTAGGGTCAACAAAATTTCGCAAAGATGAAACTGCGCGAGGAGAAGGTTGTTCGGCCTGTTACGCGGTCTACAGCAGGCGCAGCTTTTCGAGCACAGGCGGAACTGTATAGTGGGACAATATTCTTTGCATGGTGTCGGAATATCCCAAAATCTTGACGCTTGCGCCCAGCAAGGGCTGCCATAAATGGGCCGACTCTTTTCCGCGATGCACCTCAGCCGTTGACCGCAGAAGCGACCCTGCAAAAAAAGAACTAGCTGAAGTACTGAACTATGTCCCAAACGTCCCACTCCCTAGACCTCTTCCCTATTCACCGCCACTTTTTCAACGGTCTGGATAGCACCTTAAAGAAAAGTCAGGCTCGTGTTTGGGCATTATGGCGCCTGAAATGGAGTGTAGAGATGGGAAGTGGAACAATAAAAAAAAGGATAAAGCATTTGCCGTTGATCAATCCCGTTTTGGGATGCGGCACGCATTCTACTTCCATTTGTACATTCGCAGTGGCATTTGAATGCGATGTGGCCTATACAATGACTTGCGGGGGCCAGCCGATGTTCAAGTCAGTGTTTTTTATCCTCCCAGACAAGTCTGGTACCAATTAACCGACCCCGGAGGGATGGAAGGCTTGGTTGGCCCGGGCGACTCACGACCCAGGATTTGATCCCGGACCGCTCGCGTGGTGAGCGCGCCACTTGTCACTGCACCACTTCCGCCCCTTGAACTTAAGTGAACCAAATGAAAAGAAATACGTTAAGGAGGCCAAATATGGGACCCCCCTGTCCAACGGCACGAAGGAGGTATAGCTGAGCGAGATGTCCGGACGAGTTGTCCGGACATCGGTGGCATCAAGCCAGCAGTGGATAGGGAAATCAATACACCTTAGTCAGCTGATTATTTTTAGGTTTCGCTGTTGTTTAGTCTTAATTCCGCTTTATGTGCTCTTTCTTGTTTTCATTCGATGTTTTTTTTCTTTTCGTTCTTCATTCTTATGTGTTTCAGGAAGTAGCCAGTGAACTTTCGTTATTTGCTTTACTCGCATTGACTTATTTCCTTTCTAGAAGCTTGTTGATTTTGTGTGTGTTTTTGTTGATGTTTGTATGTGCTGAAATGTTTTCAGCAAGCTTGACTGGGACGGTTTGGAGGAGACACGTGAAGCAGTTATTCCACTTTCTATTCTAATTGATTAATATCTAATTAATGTTATTGTTATTATCATCAATATCGAATTAGTTAATTATAATTGTAATTCTAAATGTTCTACGTGGTTATTCCGCTATCCCTGTTCTTCTGTTGCTATTAAAGTATGCTTGTTGTTCGGTGACGTATTCTACAACATCAATAAATTTCATTAAGTAATGCTAACATGGAACACACGTAGTGAGAGCCTGTAGGCCACATAATATTGTTGGCGTTGACATTTTCCAACATTCCCAAGTGAGGAGTGTGAGGTCCGGTTTTCACTCCATCGACCCCGACCTTCGCCTTTACGTGAGATCCTTTCTTGAATAGAATAGAAGTCTGGGCTCATCCCTGTTTTCTTTTTTTTGTGACAACTACATCGCATTTTTGTGTAGCATATTCTGCAGGATCTATAAAAGCAGTGACAGTGGCGCTTGCTCTTATTTTCCAACAAATGATTCGTAGCCACGTGACCTTTCCTCGCCAAAATCCTACGAATTTTCAAGCGTACAGAAGCAGGCACTTCCATTTTTACCATACTCGCCCGAACTAGCGTACGGCTAGACTATAGTGTACGTGACAAGGAAAAAGAGGTGCCATCGAATAACGAAACACCCCATCCTAAACATTCTCGCATCGCACATTTGAATGCTCTTCCTAACGCACACTGGTGAAGAACTGTTTATATGCCATAGCTTACAACAGTGACCTTAAGAAGAGCAACAAAAGGATTGAAAACTATGAGTATCTGATTAAAAAGAACGGAAAATTGACAAAGGAGGAAATTTTGAAATAGCCGCCCGTCTGAGGATCTCATCGATGAACATCATGAGACACCACTGCTCTTTAACAGGCAACAGCGGCTGTTCTATTTTGAATAAACCAAATAACACAAACAACAAGAGCGAGAGTATGCTTACGAACAACTAAACGCTACATAAATTCCCGTTATAAGGTTCACTACAAGAAAACCTAATCAGAAAACCATTCAAGAACTAAAGAACGTCAAGAATAAATGTTGAACAGACTAAAAAAACAACGCTGGAGGGGTATTTTCATTATGAATCTGGAACTTGATGCATGTATTCCGCGGAAATCGTACGATCTTCCACGCAGGTCCCAGTCAAGGCTCCGTGCATACGGTCAGCATCCTAAAGGGAATGATCTCGTGGAGTATTTATTCGGCAGCCGCTGAGAAAAACCATCAATCGAACCTGGATGACAGCAAAGCAAACACGAGCAAATTCTGGTGCAACGGACTCCGCATATCTGAATTGCTTGACTTGATCGCGCACGATCTGCCATGTGTAGTCGTATGGTAGCTGCAAGAATAGTGGTCAAGAACGTAAGGAGCACTAATTGTGGTGCACACCTCCAAAATCGACTCACTCCCAATCGTTCCGCCCGGTGGTTCCGCGATCCCACAATCACCTTTCAATTTTTACAAAGAAAGCGCGTTTTCATCGAACAGCTGTATGAGTAATCTCGTCGTGCTATGAATCAATCCAGCTCCAAGCATCAAGTCTGCGGGGGAGGGCACTCTCGCGTGCTGGCTCACTCTGAAACTACTCAACAGTTCCATAAACAAAGATGACTGTTGCACGTTAAGAAAGTTTTTATTACCTTTTCATATTTGTCCATTTTCACAATCAAAACACGGTCATAAAACTTCTGTCCGTGGAACATTGAAATTGCCTGCACTGCTTCGATGGGATGTGAGAACTGGAGAATACACACACCCTCTAATCACAACAATGCAATAACTGAAATCCTAATTTTAATTCGATCGCTTATTTGAAGACGAATCCAGTAAGAAAAGGCTATGCAACCTTCGCTCTGGAAACAATGGCTTTCCTTTTTAAACCCTGCGTTGCAACGCTTTCCAGTTATACTGAGGTCAGGAAAGCTTCAAGGCAATAAGAACAGCAAATAGCGCTCAAGCAAATCCACTAGAACACCTAAGCAATGGCAACCAACGAACCTGTCCATGAATTGTGTCAGTCGAACATACGCTATACAAGCACCTTCCTCACCCATCACATGCACATTCGGATTCAGCATAGTGGTGTGTAATTGACCTTTTCGTGGGTTGTTATTACCTAAATGTTCAAGGTTACTCCACGCTCAGTTACTCCAGGATCACCCCTGAAGTCTGTGCGATGTGTGGAAAATGCTACTACAGTAGAGCGTTGTTCTATGTCCTCTACATCAATAAATTCTCGAACAAAGTAAGAAGAACACAAGCAGAAGGAAGCGCAGCTGACGCTGTCAATTTCAAACACAGACAGCTCCTGTGTGCCTGCGTCAGCCGACCTAACAAACTGGTCACATTTTGAGGGTATCCGCAAACAGGTAATGGAGTGAGAAAAAAGAACAAAATCACTTTAGACTAATCTCACCGTAGTCGAAATAGAACCGGTGAAACTCGACACCTTCGATAAGATTTCCTAGAGCTTCTGGCTCGAAACACGTCATTTGTCGGACCCGTTCTCAGGCTCAACTGTCTAGGCGCATCGGCGGAGTCCTTAGAGCCTACAACGCGTCGCGACAAAAGGGAAATTGGAAGGGCTTCCTACGCGGCTCTTTGGCCTGCCAGCGGGCAACGCTTACCAAGGCCCTAATGCCCTTGCTCGAGGCTACCGGGAGGAGTAATGATGATCAAGTGACTAGTTTCTTTCACGACACGAACG